CCACTAAAAGCAAGACTGGACAGACAGTCTTGTTGTTGTAGTATCACACTCAAAGCAGCAGCATTTTACTTCTCGGATCCCAGGTGTAAGCTCTACTTTTTTTATCACGCCTTCATAATAAAGAAAGTCTGTTCTGGAGATTGGTATATTGATTTCTTTGCAAAGTCATCTCTAATTATGCAGGAATGGCTGTTGGTTGCCCTCAAAAACCAACACAAATACACAAACACACCAGCCTCTCTTAGTGATTAAGAGCTGCAAGTCTGAAGGCAGACTGCTGGGTGTGAATTCCACCTTCTCAATACTGTAGTCTCCAGCAAGTTCCTTAACTTCTCTGCCTCAGTTTCCTCTCCTGTAAGATAGAGTCTACCTCAGGGTTACTATGAGGATACACTCCTTTGCTAATGCCGGAGCGCGCTACGAATAGCAGTGGCAGGCTGTGTCATTTCTTAGCGCTGTATAAGGGCTTGTTTTAAAAGTCTCACTGAAAACTTTTTTTTTCCAGATCGAAACACAAGTTTAATAGTCATTCAGATTTCATTCCAGTCTAAACAAACGTACAGAAATCTAATTATCTGCCAGAATAACCATCTTAAACTGACTCTTAAGAACCACAGTTACTTTGCAGCTAAAACAGATTGTTCTCTTCCCCCTAACAAACTCGGACATTTAGCCAAATATTGCTGCTGTCTTTACATTTTAGAAATCAGTATTAAGGCTCACCTGTTACTGAACACATGCGAGAAAGTTTTGTTATGCGTATCTTATATACATCTTGTACACATTTTCATACTTCACATGATGTGTATAATAAGATACACATTAAAAACTGGTTGGTTTGTCATGAGTAAATGCTTTATTCTTCAGAGTGATGGAATATTGGATCCAGAACGTCGTTCCGTATTTAATCTTGCTTTAGAAAATTAGGATTTATCTTGGACACAGCATTTTGAACATAACACAGGCAAGTTAAGTCCTGGGGGAAAAATTGTATTTTTAAATTTATTATCAACGGTGTCTTTCGCATTCGAGAAAATACATTTGAAGAAGATGCCCGTGCAGGAAGTAAACTAGGTCACCCACCACTGAAACACCCTCGGCTTCTACAAAAAGATGTGCTTTAAAGAGAATAGAATGGACGCTCAGTATGTTCATCTAAACGACCTTGGGCAAGTACGTCGATTCCAAGGTACAATCAGCCCTCCCAGATGGCTTTTCGAGTCTCCCTAACCCGGGTGGGAGAGGACGCGGCGCCAGAGCCCGGCTCCCGCTAGTTTTCCCGGGGGCAGGGGTAGCCCTGGGCGCGGGGCCAGGGGAGGGGCAAGGGGCGCCTTCTTGGCTCCCAAGCGCACCTCTCCAGATAATGAGCTGGGTGAGGAAGAGCATGAGGATGAAGAAAGTGTACAGGGCTAAATCTGTGCATGTACATTTTTTGGACTCACACCTGGATTGTATTTCCTGTAGTGTTTTTTAAGGAATTAGTCAAACAGATTAGACAG